AATATTAACCTGAAATAAAAGAAATAAAAAGTTGCCTTTCTAATTTTTGGAAATGTAAGAATTATCCTTGTTCGAGGAATGTACATCCTCAAGTAAGATAGAGAAGATAGTTATCTATGATTCTGCAGAAACTAAAATCACAGATACTAAAAAGCAAATTAAAAAATCTTACTAGGTGGGCTTTGCACTTTTTATCTCTTGCCAATTCTCTCTTGTTTTGTATTTCAAATGCAGCCAACTTTATCTGTATTCTTCACGAAAAGAATTTTTTTATTTTATACTGTGTTTCAATGAATCTACAGTATTAAAATTTCAGTCAAAGGATTTGTTCTTGCCTTTGAATGCATCATTCTGTTTTCAAGAAAAGCCTACTGTGACATTGCTTATACAGCAGCAAATATTGATCTGGTTTTTCAAAAGTTGCAGATAACTGTATTGGAACAATAGCTTGCTGTTGTCTGGCAACAAAACTCTACATGGCTGTATCATTTAATCCATACAATACAATAAAATCAATTAAAAATAAAAGAATAAACACAAATAACAGTTACAAATCCACAGCAGCAGTATCATCCAGAAAAATAATTTTACAATAGAGTACAGTCCCCTTTCACCAAATACTTGCCAGAATGTTATGGTCTATCTATATCCGAAAATCCAAAACTGAGTATGTCTGCCAGATATCTCTGAGAAGAGAATTTCAGAAACTGGTTTGATTTTCTATAAGGCACTTTTCCTGTACACTCAGAATCACCCTAACTTGAGTGTCAAAATACTTAGAAGTACAAGATTGTCAAGGAAAATTACAGGCCTGAGCAGAATGGAGTGTATTAATGAGAATCCATAATGATCAGATGTGCTAAAACTGAGTCAGAATGACTCAGCAGAGCTGATGCAACTCATGGATGATGCAATGTGTGATCTGATTGGTCCTGTATATGTATATATGTGTGAATTGTACAGTCAGTTGTATCTTCTTCCTGCTTGAAGATCACTTCTACATGTTATGCTGCCAGACTGCTGTAAATACTGTTGTAAGTACACGTTGCTGAAGGAAACGCTGCTGGACTGTGTGAGAGTTATTTCTGGACTGCCTGGACTGCGAATCACTCTGCTAAAACCCGCGATTTGCGTTAAGAAACGCTGACAAAGATAATTATTATTTTAGACATCCTTATATCCCGTGTCAAATGGTAGAATCTACCCACACTTTTACATTTATGCCATTTTACAGAAGCATTGCTGTCAAATGACTGTGTTGCCATACTATCATAGAATAATGGACTTATTCAACTCCCAACCAGTGTAAAGGTGTGCCATTGGACACCAAGACCAAGTTCATCTACCCTCTTGTATTTCCGAACACCATGTAGGGGAGTGAAAGCTGGACAGTTAAGAAAGATTACAGGAAAAAAACTGATTAATTTGAAATATTGTGCTGGAGTAGAGCTTTGCGGATACCCTGGATTGCCAGAAAAACAAAAGTGAGTCCTAGATCAAATCAAGCCTGTACTTTGGGGGGAGGCAAAAATGTTGAAACTGAGACTGTCCTATACTGGGCATATCCTAGGAAGGCAGGATTCTCTGGAAAAGGCAATAGTGCTGGAAAAGGTGGAAGGCAGCAGGAAAACAGGAAGACTAAATATGAGATGGAGTGACTCCTTAAAAGAGACCACAGGCTTGAGTCTGCAAAAGCTGAGCAAGGTAGCTGAGGACAGCACAGTTTGGGGATCACTTATTCATATGATCACCATTGGTTTAATGTGACTTGACAGCACATAACAAGAACAATAAGGCCATCAAGTCCAACTTCTTGCACAGTATTATGTTATATACTGACTGACTGAGATGGTTTATGGGTCAAGAGAGCCCTATAAAAACAAATTACAGCTGGCTGTTGAAAATCAAAACAGTTTGGGAATGGCCCCAGAAAACGTTGTATTTATTCGCTTTATAAACCTTGTGGCACATAGACAAAATATTAAATATGACAATACACACCCTGAAAAAATACAAATGCCACCCTCTCCTGAGCTGTCTCCATGCTACTAATCATGGCCCTATTAACTTTACTGTATTGAACTCTCAACCAGATGAAGAACTTGGCTGTGGCAGTTAAGACATCGTTCCTCTGGCTGCATTCCAAACTGCCATCCATCATGTGCAGAGGCCACCCCCTTCCACCCATCCTCCAATGAGATTCATGATTCTTTTGTCCCAAGGCTTTTCTTGTTTCAAATACAAACTGTGGTCCACAGTTTCTGACTGCCCCTCATCTCGCATCACCTTCTATGCCTAGCAACGGTGGCCAACTGGAACTTTTTAATGTTATAATGTTCCTCTCCCCCTATTTGTTTGTTTGCTTAAACTTATTTAATAGTATGATTAATTGTATGAATAGTTAATAACAATTATTTTTCAAGGCTGGCTGTTTCTGTCTTTGTTTTATTTCAGAGATTTTTACATCACTCATTCCTCATCCATTGACATCCAAATTCATTATAAAAATGTTGCAGAGTTTTGAATTTCAGAGTTTTGGAATTTTTGAATTTATTTGTGGCTATGCAGTAGAAGTACAGAAGTATGAGAATAGCTATAGTTTCCTCAGAAGCTACTCTAAAAAGCAGCCTAAAATGGCAAAACTAAAATAACGTATTTTAAAACTCCAACGAATTTAAATGCCTTAAATGATTCCCATAAAGTGCACATATTTCTGGGTAGTTTTCGCCAATAGGACACCTATAAGGCTCTCTGTCTCAGGTCAGATGGTAGGGGCATACAAAACAGGATTGTAACTGGATGTCCCTTTTTAACCAGCAGAGCTCATGTGGTTATAAGAGTGTCCTGACAAGATGAAACTTACAGAATTGTGAATTTCTGGTAAAAATCAATTCGCTGTATAGTAGAGGTACAGACTGACAGAGGATAATAGCTTCCAGTTCCCCAGAGTCCACCCCTTTCTCATTAACTGGCATTTAAAATTTCAGTAACTAAATCTGAGAGATTTATAGGAGAAAGCATAAAAAACATTTCATTGCTTATACTGTTGCTTGAAATCACAGATTTGTGTTTGTTGCTTTTTTTTACTGCACATATACAGACAACTTAATGAACAGATCAACAGCAAACATCTAACTGCCACCAACAGATTAAAAAGAGGGAGAAAACAGCAGAGGCAGGGCTCTCTTTGAATTCAAAGGCTGGAAGGAATGTCCGTCCCAGCCACACAATCTACAGATAGCATGTGAAGTTGCAAATAAACTTCAAAAAAACGGCATCTCTATATAAAGAAAAACTGTTTGGCCTCTCACATTTTTCACTGTCCTTTGTGAAAGACATGCAAACTCCACAAGAACCTAAAAATGAAGTGACAATCAAAATTAGATACAAGCTTCACCAAATGTAATCTAGGCATTTGGCATAAAATGCTTTTCACCCTAAAAAAAATCGATAAAACAGCATACTCAATAATGTACATTCTCTTGATAAGGAAGATTCCAGAATCCATATTGGGACAACACCTTTGTGAGGTAAACTCGAGCATCACCTAAAAAATAAGCAAGCTTTTTTGATCTCTAAATCTTTTCAGTCAATCAAGATGTTGTCTGGGAGGGAGGAGTTTGGTTTTGTGTTGAGATCATGAAGTCTCCAGAGTTAATTGTACAAAGAAATGTGGAAGACATTCAGAATTATGAATTATTTGAGAAATAATCTGAATTATTTCAGACATTCAGATTACACTCATGATGTCTTCATGATGTGAAGGTTTTAGGTTCTAGTTGGGACTGTTCTTCAGACTGGTGAGATGAAGGAACAAACAAAAAATGGTTGAACTAGTTCTGAAAATAAGCAATCCAGCTATAGCCTCCTATTTGGGATTATAAAATAAAACTAATAATAATAATGTCTATTCTTTATGGTGGAGTGTCTCTTTCTGTCTTAGAAAAAAAAAGAAATCTGCTATTCAACAGGATGTGATTAGAGTCTCAATGAGCGTGTGATCAGAGAGGCATTTGTCCTGCTCTTTGGTTTGTTGCAGTGATGCACTCCTTTTTCTGTTGATGGGATAAAATAATTACTAAAATGAACCAATTCATCCCCAGAGCATTCCTACCTGTTAGGGGCCACTGGTGGTGTGGGTTTTTCGGTGCAAGTAATATCACTCTGTTTTGGTTCATTTATAGCACGTGCAATCACTGGGATGAAACCAAAGCTGAGCTTGCTGTTTCTCTTCTGCTTTCAATTTCCCAATTGAAAGCAGAGGAAGAAAGCAAAAGATCTTTTAAAAGTCTATTAGGACATTTCTAATGTGGTATACCACTTAGAATAAAAAAAATTGAGAGCTGGTGGTTTGATTATGTTTTTGTTGTTTTATTGCGGGGGGGGGGAGGCCAAATAGGGCCACAGGTGGAAGCAAGGATCACACCAAATGGCATACCAGACCCCTACCTGGTCCTTAAGAGACGCCACTTAACAGTGCTGCAGCCCGCTCCATTTGAACTGTGAAGACAAGCCCTAAAGTTATATTTAGACCTTGAAAATGTTGCCTTTTGTGATACAGCTGCTGGAAGGGAGTTTCATGGAGTTGTAGCCCAAAAACTAAAGTTTCCGGACTCTGGATATTTTCTGTCTAAGGGACTCTGTTTCTATTAGATTTTGCTGAAATGCAGTAAAACAAAAGGAAATCGGTTCTAAGGAGAGCACAGAACATCTGACAATCCTGCACACGGGACAGTTTCTTAGCCTCACAAGACGGCAAAACCATGTATCACCTCACCGTGAACAGAAAGAAAAAGAAAAGGGGGGGGGAACCACTGCAGCTGAACAAAGTCTCACTCCACACCCAGTTGTTGCAAATGTGTTTCTCCATGGCTTGGCTTGTGGTTTTGTTTTCAGCTGTGATTGGCTAAAGGTCTGAGAGAGATGGGAGGGCAAGATGTAAGTGGTGAAAGCTTAAAGTGATTGTGAACAGCTTTCGAATTTGCTTGACAAATCCTTGTCTGAAGGAAAGGACAGAACGGGGTCACCATGTGTACACAACTCCATCATATTTTTACTTCTTGATATATGCAAGTTTAGAACCCAGTAAAGACACACAAATTTTCTGCCCAATCTGCTCTCAAAGGTAAGTGACTAATGCTTGTTTAAATTTATTTACCAACACAGTAAGTTGATACTGCAACAAAATGTTACAGTGTGGAATGTTGCTATTCAGTTTTGCACTCCTTACATTCCACAATTCTGCTCTCCCATAAGGCATTCAGTATTCTGTGACCTTGGGCTTGTGACCTTATGGGGTTTTCCCCCACTGACCCTACTTCTGCCCCTACTTCTGCACACTTGTGGATTCCCCTACGAAGCATATGGATACTTCCATATAGTTTATCTTTAGTCATGATCTAACCATTATACTGTCAAAATGCAACAGCTGAGTTCATGATGAATATATATATGCACAAAACCATTTTAAGCTATGGATATGCAAAGTTAAATAATGCAAAATTTGGTTGTTGTAGTTTTTTCAGGCTGTTTGGCCGCATTCTTAAGGTTTTCCTTCCTAATGTTTCGCCAGTCTCTGTAGCTGGCATCTTCAGAGGACAGGAGTCAGAACTCTGTGCTCTGGTGCAGTTTGTGGGATAGTTGAGTATTTATAGCTGTGGGATAAGCATGCAAAATTTGCTCATAAGGTTTGGAAACATTGGCTTAACTGATGTTGTCAATTGACATATTTTCATATAAATGTGGGGGTGCTTCAGTCTGGATCATGAACTGACCAGATGACTTATTATTTCTATTAAGTGCCACAGTAGTGAAGACCAAAGAACGGTCTGTTCAGACTTGACCACTAGGATTCTTGATTCATTTATAACTGCAATGTCAAAGCAGTACATGCTTACAGCAACTTCATTGGGATACAGTGTGAGATGCAGATAGTAGGAAACTTCTTTCTAATTCTCTGATGCACACTAATTCTGCTGCCTATAAGAAGATGCTTATATCTTGTGCAACAGGACTGTAATGCCTGTCAGTGAGAAAGCAATTCTCACATGACTGTCAGTGAGAAAGCAATTCAAAGAGGATGCAGACCACTATTATATTTGTAGCGTATTCCTTCCAGTGATTTTAAATGGTTGGTGCTTTAGCCTAACTTTGTTGTGAAAAAAAATATTTGAGGGGAGTGTAATTTTATTTTCCCATATAAACATAAATGGAAAGCACCTTAAATTATGTTCTTGTGTCATCCAGCAGTTCATCCCATTTCTTCTACCCCAATTTACTGCAAAAGCTCCCTACCACCAGTAGCAGCATTATCATATATTATTTGTCCTTGTTACCATTTGAGGCTGCAACATCTATTGTTTGACAGAATAAATTTAATTCTCTTCTACCCAAACCATTTTATCCTTGGATAATGTGGCCATCCCAGAAATTACTTTGCTGATTTAAAGGCAGCGGAAGGACATCAAACATGGAAATTAGAGGCATAAACCCCAACATTTATTGAGAATAAAAAGCTTTAAAGTAGCAGTTCAATGTGTGAGATTCTCAGTCTTAATTTCCTCTTGACCAGACACAAAGACAATCCCAGACATGGGTAATGGCTGGAAGATGCCAAAGACTAATAATTCCAAATGCTTTGACTATACGCCCTCTATTATTAAACCCCATTAAATTATTAAATCCCAGGTACTATTTTTTTTATATCTGTTAAGATTATTGCTACTTATCTTTTTCTCTCTCTTCTGGGATTTTTAATGAGTTTAAAACTACTGTTTTAGAAAAAGAAGGGGAAAGAAACACAGCCTTGACACTAACTGCTATTTACGAAACAAGCTTCAAAAGAAAAAAAAAGTTGAACAACAAACAGGGGTCCTAAATCATTTTGGGGTGAGAAATGCAATCTACGAAGCACCACGCCCCTTTATTTTAGACCCCTGTATGGATATTTTTCCAGGTAGCTCTGTTTTCTCACGTCTGCTGATGTGGACATGTTCCATGAAACTCATATTAAAATATAGCAGTTAGTCTTAAAGGTACCACATCATCTTTATTTTTTTCCTTTTATTTTGCTTGCACAGACTAATATGGCCATTACTTCAAAAACAACCTTGACAGTCTATGCAGGTAATAATTTGCTTGGCTAGAGTTCAATTGGGCTTCAAGTCCTAGGCCTTACAGCCATTTAGATAATTTATTTATTTTCACCTCTCCGCATAAGATGGACAAAAAGGCAGTTCACAATTTAAAAAATAATTTGAGAAAGATATGAAGTCAAAACATTAACATTTCTGGTGACATGGCATATTTTTTTCAGGAGCTTCTCATCATCATCTCCATTTTGTCGAAGTAAAGGGAGGATTTACTATTCTTCTAAATTAATTGCGCTTGAATCCCGTAAACCTGCATTCTCATTACTATGAGCCATTAATGTTGGCAGAACACACATTATATTTTCAGAATCCTTGTCTCCACGCTATGCACCATAATTAAAAGTGAGATAATATTAACATTTTTTTCAGATGTGTATTTAGCAAGTGACATGAAATGGCACATACTACAAATCATAAGTGATGTGCATAATCAGCCCTTCGTGTCATATTGCTAGTTATTTGTTGTACATTGCACTATATATCTTGGTGTTCTTCAAAACCAACTGTATATTACATCTGACTTGAAAGCTTTGGGTTCTTGATTGGGTACGGAACAAGAATAGCATCTGTTGGCTTGATGAGAGAGAGTGTGCCTGACAGTTCTCCTGGGTATTTCAGCAGCTTTTGGTAACATTGATTGTGCCTCTGAAATGGGACTTGGAGACACTGTTCTGTGGTTGGCTCTAGTCCTTCCTGGACAGATGACTTCAGGAAGGTGGTGATGGGGAGTTCCTATGTGACATTGTGGTTGTTTGCTGGTGGGGTCTTACAGGGCTCTGTGTTCTGTTTCATATTATATGCTATTTATATTAATCTGCTGGGAGCAGTTGTACAGAATTCTGTGACTGAATGCCTCCAGTATTCTAAACCTATGACTGATGTCAATAATGGACTGGATGGGCATGAACAAATGGAAGATTTATATTCCGGACAAGATGGAGGTGCTTCTGGGCAGTCAAAGGGTACAGGCCTTAGCTACATTCCCTCTGAATTATTGTAACATGCTTTATGCGGAGCAGCTTTCAGTGTTCAAAAACTTCATCTGGCCCAAAATGGCTGTGAATTGACTGTTGCCTAGATCTGGTTATATAGCCCCTTTGTAATGACAGGCCTACTGGCTACCTGTTTCCAGGCACAATTCAAAATGATGGTTATCTTGCACAAATATGTGACTTGAATCCAGATATTCTCTCATATAAGCCTACTTGTATTCTCTCATATAAACCTGCCTGGGCTTTGAGATTAGCAGGCAGGGCCCTTCTCTTGGTCCTGCTACCCTCAGAGAGACATCTGGTTAGAATGCAATAATTGCTTTCTTGGTGCTCACCCCACAGTTGTGGAACTGACTTCCAAGAGAGGCTAGACTGCCTCATTCCCTGTTATCCTTCTGCCAGAAGGGGAAACGCCATTACATTCAGGAAGGCTTTTATCAATTGACCAGCTGCCAGGAACTTTTGATGGGCGAGTGATGCAGTTTTTAATTATTATAACTTCAATCAATGTGTTATTAAAACATCTTAATCCAATTGTGTTCTAATATTACATGTTCAATTGTATTTCAATATTATAATGTATTTTCATTTTTACTTGTTTTTTAATCATGTTACGGCCTAACTTGGGAAAAAATAATCTTAGAACTGCAGAGCTGGATAAATGAGTCACCTCATTTGAGGAGTAGCACTGCCCAGAAGAGACTCTACTTCCAGCACCACCGGGCTGACGTCTTCCCTCTGGCAGCCTGCCTCAGCCTCATGCTCTCCTACAAGTCCTAGCAGGAATCACCACGAAAATAAACACGCTCTATGGACACAGCCTGCCCATTTAATGCACTCTCCCATCCCTCAATCTGATGCCCTAACATGATCATTTGAGGAGTAGCACTGCCCAGAAGAGACTCTACTTCCAGCACCACCGGGCTGACGTCTTCCCTCTGGCAGCCTGCCTCAGCCTCATGCTCTCCTACAAGTCCTAGCAGGAATCACCACGAAAATAAACACGCTCTATGGACACAGCCTGCCCATTTAATGCACTCTCCCATCCCTCAATCTGATGCCTTAACATGAACAGCTGAGATATCTCTTGGCAAGGGCCTTTTCATTCCCCCATCCCTGCTTGCCCTACCTCATCAATTAAAACGCATAGGTTTTTACACTTTGAAACAATAACAGAAAGTATGTCAGTGACTGATACTGCAGTTATTTGTTAGCTCCTGGGCACCAGGATACAACGCAAGCAAGCTGTGTCATAGAAAATAACTTTATGGGTGCCTTTTTAAATTTAGGGCACAAGGATAGTGTGGGGGAAGGATTCACTTTGCCAGGACCTGGAAATCTAGGAGTCCACAGCACAGTCTGCAACAGCAATGGTATGAGGAGGGATGAAGCTGAAGTATAAATCATGCCAGTACCAAAAATCCAGGAGCCATTGCCAAAATATGCGTACACAAAAATCCACTTCACAATTATCCTATGGATCTTTCTGACAGTTTTCTTTGTGATACATTGAATATGATTAAGATCTACTTTTTGAAAATAATTTAAGGTACCTGGTTATCTTACTAAATCATAAATGAATCAGCAGTGTGTGATGAGCCCTACAGATTTTTATTTTCTGTAGTTTGCTAGTAGCTGTGGCAGATTTCTGTATATATAGAATATTGGCACTTATTAAGAACTGCAGCTATTCTACCATGGAGAAACAGCAGTGGAAAGATTTCTAGTAATTTTATCTACTGGAAGTATACTTGAAAGAGAAATAGGCTTTGGGGAGATAATTCATGGTTTAACAAAGGAAAAGGCAACAAAATAAAACACTAAAATGAGTTAAATCTACTTATGAAATGATTACAGCTGCTTTTGACCCATTAGAATTTGTATAAAATCAAAATAGAGAAGATCTTTAGATCTACTTATTTCTACTAAGAGCAAAATGGAGGCTTGCAAAACATGCCAACCAGCCTTTCAGGCACTATTCT